GCACCTTGTACCTATGAACACGGCAGTGCCAGGGAGAAAGCACTGGAGCAGATGCAGTTCTTGCCAGCACTACCTCCATCTTGTCCCTGCTCCTTCTGGGGACCACCCTGTCCCCACTGCAAGGCTTGGACTAGATGGAAGCTTCAGGGGGAGCAGGATTTTTTTGTCTCTTTTGCATCTCCAGCATGTAGAAAGTCTGGCACATAGCAACTGCTTAGTAAATGAATGAATCCATCAATGGCTCAATCCTGAACAGCATGGCAAATATTGATTAGGGCTCCCTTACCAGGAAGAAGGAGTCCTAAAGAATAATAAATAATAACAATTGCTTTTTTATGTCTTACTCAAGAGCTGACTTCCTCTGTGCTAAGTGCTTTGCACCATCCCTGGGAGAGAGAAACTGCCCTCCCTGTGCAGCAACTAAGGAAATGGATGCACAGAGAGCTTAAGTAACCTGCAAAGGCAGGACCACAGGATGGGCGCCCTCTGATCCCTGTCCTTTCTGAGACCTTCTCCTGCAGCTTTCACTTCTTACCCCTTCCTTACATTAGCCAGCAGTCCTTTCAGATGCTACCTTTACACACTAAAGTATATTCAGAAACCACCACTCCAAGCAGCCACAGGAAGTAACAAACCCCGATAATTATAACAATAATAATATTAGCTAATTGTACCGACTGCCAACTATGAGCCCAGTCCCTCTGCTAACTGCTTGCTGTCCTTCCCCTAGTTCCTCCTCACAGCAACCTGTGAAGTGGGTGCTTTGTCACCCCCACGACATGGAGGACGAGGGAACTGAGGTGAAGCAACTTGTCCCAAAGCAACCCAGATCAATACTGCCCTTAACTGTCCCCAGATGCCTTCTGCTGGCTTCTTCCTCTTTCTTCAGTGTCCTTTCCTTGGGGACGAACCCTCCCTCCACGTCCCACCATGTCAGCTGTAGACGGATCGCCACTTGTTTCCTTGCAAAAAAGCAGCTCTGACAGCCACCCAATTCAAGTGCCAGAGCTAGCCACCACGCTGGTGAAGATGACCACCCCACTTACCCCAGCGGGCTGCTGCTCTCAATGAGGGCGTGGTCCTCATAGACACAGACAACAGTATGGTGATGACCAGAGAAAAAGCAGGGTGGGAGGAGGTAGATGAAGGGAAAGGGGGAATAAATGGTGGTGGAAGGAGGCATGACTTGGGGCGGTGAACACACAATACAGTATACAGATGATGTATTACAGCATTGTACCCCTGCAACCTATGTAATCTTATTAACCAGTGTCACCCCAATAAACTCCATTTTAAAAGTTAAAAAACACAAAGAAATGCATGGTCAACAAGGGAAAAGAGGCAGGCAAACAAATAACACTGCTGATCAGATTACCCACCAGGCAGGCACCAGCTAAGCAACACCCCTTTATACCCCCCAAAAAAGAAGAGAAAATAAAAGAAAGTCCATTCAGAATTCTGCAATTTAGAAATGACTGCGAGACCTGACCAGGTAGCTCAGTTGCTTAGAGCATCATCCCAATATGCCAAAGTTGCAGGCTCGATCCCCGGTCAGGGCACATAACAACGATCAACCAATGAATGAAAATATATGTGGAACAACAAATCGATGTCAGTCTGTCTCTCTCGTGTGCACGCACGTGCTCTCTCTGCCCCTTCCTCTCTCAAAAAAAAATTAAAATTAAAAAATCAATCAACAAAAAAATAAATAAAATAGAATAAATAAATATAAATTAAAAGAAGATGACAGAGACCACTGTGTTTTATGACCCGGCACTGTTTGGGGTTTTAATGAAAGAATTGAGAGAGGGGCTACCACAATCTTTGCATTGTTAGGGTCACTACTGGACCTCAACACCCTCAGGATGGAGGCAGGTACTCAGAACAGGGGTGGGGTGGGGATGGGGGTGACCTGATCATTTACAAAAAGAAAGTTCTTAGCTCCCTCCCTGTGAAGGTTCATGGTAATGAAACACTGGTCCCAGTGTGAGGCAGGATCCCGGAGGCAGCACTTTGCAGATGCGTGTAAGATTCTGCACCAAGACTGAGGCCTCTGACCTCTACCCATGGCTCCTGCTGGGGCCCCAGAGGCCCTCTTTCCCAGACCCCCAGCCCAGAATGCTCCCCCACACTGAAGCCCTTGCCCAAGCTTGGTCTCACTGCTGGCAGCCTGCCCCTCCGAGGCCAAACAGACCGGCAGCCAGAGCACGTGGTGTCTTCTGAAAGGTGCTGGGGTTTCTATCTGTGCCTGAGAGAGGTGGGTAAAGGAGACAACACACTTAGTCCTGCTGCTGCAGGCCCAGAGGCAACCTTTGTTCTGAATCTCACTGTCCTCCAACTTCTGGGAGTGGGCCCAGGGAATTGGGCGGTCCTGGTCCAAACCCAGGTGACTCTGTGTGACCTGGGGGAATATTTTTAACCTTTCTGAGCTGTGGGTTCCTGGTCTGCAAAATAGCAAAAATAACAGGCCAATACACATGACTGTTGGGAGGGTAAATGACAATACATCTATAGCATTTAGAGCGGAGGTTGGCCCACAATGAGAACTCCATCCCTGCTAGACATTATATTGTATCTGCCTCATAGGGTTGTAGGAAGCATAAATTACAAACAACATGCTAGGCGTGATCTACGATTTCAACATTATTACAGGAACTACCATTATTGTCACTGTTACTATTAATTACTAGTACTGTTACTACTTACTTGGGGCCAGAAAAGCAGAAGAAACAGAGGAGGCGACCATCAAAGAACGCATTTTAGCAGTGTTATCCTCTAAGACCCAGAATTTCTGAGGTTTTTCAGGGGATGGTGTAGAAGGGACCATCAGCGGGGCTCATTAATGGTCAGAATTATTCCAGATTATTGCTCTGTTCCCATCTTGGGTCAGGGTGCCCTGCAGACACTGGGTGTACAAAGATGGGGTTCTTGGTCTCTTAAGATATCACATACCAACATCAGGAGAGAAATAAAAAGCAAACATAAACTAGGGCCAGTGCCCTGTCTACACCCAACTATAAAAGGAAATACAAAATAAAAAGCCCGAGTGATCAGGACATCTGACATCACAGACACACACCATGAAGCAAGCAGGCCAATGGCTACCTCTCCAATAGGGACCTGCCTCAGCAACTATCCAAGGTCCTCACTTCCCCAGGAAAGAGTTGACCTGCCTTTGGTCTGACCAAATTTAGGGCCACTCACACAAAGAGGGAGAAAGAGAGGTGTCTCATCGTCCAGGAGACCCCTTAGCTGAGCTGTCCAGGCACAGTGTCCATCCGGGGCAGGCAGAGCCCCACCAGCCAGTCTTCCTGCCATTTGGGAGAATAAAAGCTGAAAGCACAAGGGACTGACTGGATGTGGATGGTAACAGTCACCTGGTCTTCAGACCAGCAATCACACAAATCATCAGGGGTCAGATATTCCAGAACCGAGAAAACAGTTCCCTCTTTCCAGCCCAGAAAAGCTCCAGCCAGGGACGGAAGAGCACGCCAGATAGCATGGGGGAGAGAGAAAGGGGAGAGAAAAAAATCAATCAGAAAAAGAAACTGATTTCTTCTACTGTTCAAGAAAAGCCCGGTTTATGCAAAATTCTGCACTCGAAGTAGATATAGCAACAATAACAACAGAAAGTCACCCTTCACAATGTGACTACCTCACAAATGGCCACTGACTACCTCACAAATGGCCACTGGGTTCAGCGGGTACAGCCTCAGGGTGGGCAGTGGACCCACCCAGCCTTTCCATCTCCAGACTCACGTGGAATTCCAGCCGGGCCCTCTTGCCAGTGCCTGAGACCACGAGGCAGTCCTCAACTCCAAGACGCCTCTCTTCTCAGACAGTGGAAACCAGGCCACGAGGCTCTGCCCAGCCAGGGATTCCGTTTTCTTCCTGCTGCTTCCAGAAAGGCTTTTCTCCTAAGGAATCTTTCAGGAAGTTCCACTCTGGGTTTGGAGGATCCATGCAAACCCCTACTCTGCCGGTTGGAGCCTTAGAAAGATTCGCTGTGACCACAGGACTGTGTCAAATGAACAAGTCTCAACTTGTCAGCACCAGTATGCAAAATAGGCCTGCACCTATAACAAACAGCAAAGCTGATACAGTCCCCAAGTCCCCAGGGCCTCCGCCCACCCACCAACACAAACAGGCGGTTCTCCATGGTTTCCTCCAACAACAAAACAGCTCCAGAATCGGGACTAACTGAGGTGGCCAGATGAGCAGAGGGGGCTGCCAGACTCTCTGGAAAATGTAAGACCTGTGGGAACCACCAACACCTCGCCCTCTTCTCCCTAAAAACTCTCTCATCTTCTAGAAGGGCCTGAAGTCAGAGGCTTCAGTAAAGAGAAGAATCTTCCCTGGCAGCAAACTATCAGGAAAATTCGTGGTGTATCCATGCGCTGGACACATGCAGCATGCGCATGGCCGCCCTTCCTGAAAGTGTACACCGACCACAAACACTGGCATAAATAAGAGCACATTAGCGGGGGGAGGGTAAACCTTATTAAATTAACAGCCCATCCAACAAGAATTAACATCATTAGGCTGTCGGGGCGCCCAGCAAATCTGGAAATGCAGTGCAAAAGTTTCAAAGAACAGACTTGCTTAGCGTTTGGAAACCACCTTGGGGGTGGGGGAGGAGAAGATGGCCAAGGATGGAGGGAGTGCTCGGTGGGTCAGGGACTTCCAGTTTTACTGGAGGGGCCTCCAAATCGCATCTGCGACCCCAGGCCGGTACTGATTGGAGATGGTCTATTTTTAGAGATGAGGCGATACACCCTTGATCAAGTGCATAAAATCCAGAATTAGTTCTATGTACGGGGCATCTGATACACCCAAATGCCTGTCTGGAGTCTGGTGATGAGGGAAGTGCACGATTAACACACACAGATATGAATCTGAAGCCCCTTCCTCGGTCCAGCTTCTCACTGAGCATCCCTATCCACAAGCCCCCCCCCCCGCCCCCTCAATCCAGGATCGCAGAAGACAGAATTCTAACTTACTGGAAGGTGGATCCAAGCCGTATCACCGGGGCCGCCAACATCCTTTCCGCGTGGAGCTCCACTCGGGGGGGTGCCGAGGGGTACCGGGGCCCATCCTCGCTCGCGGCCCCTGCTGTTCCTCCGGGTCCAGGCCGCCTGGAGCGCGCACGGCCCGAGGGCCCATGTGCTCGGCGGCCGCACGCGCTCCCGCCCGGTGGAGAGCGGGCCGGCGGGAGGTCCGTGACGTCACGGTTCGCGCTCTGGGGCCGCGGGGGAGGGGAAGCGCGCGCCACCCAGCCCGCCGTGTGCGTGCGGGGCATCGGCGCACCAGCTTACCCGGGCCTCTGGGCTTCCCTCTGGCCCACTGGCCATCCTGCGAGCCCCTCCGCCTGCCGCCCATACTACACCGGCCACCAAGCCTCCGAGAGCCGCGTGCAGGCAGGGCGGGCCTGGTCCACCGCGGGCCCAGAGGGTGCAGAGGAGGGTGCTTTCTGAACCAGGACGCGGTCCCCACGGCTCTGGCCCCGGGCCCATAGGGGCAGCGCCAACTTCCCAGGGCGCTTGCTCGCTGGTGCTCAGAGCCGAAGTCCTACTCTCAGCTCCTCCCCACCCCCCCCCCACCCCCGCGTCCTGGAGTCAGGGAGCCTTCCCACGTGCCAGATGGGGGAAGGAGAGTTTAATGACTTGGAAGGACCGTGATGCTCTGAGATGGGAACACTTTGCGCACCAGACCCTTGGCTTATCTCCACCCTCAGAGATCTGAGTGACTCTTTGGGTACCACTCAGCATCCGCGGGTCTGGTGAGAGGGGCGCACGCACCTCGCCGCCTCCTTGGACGTCTCCAGCTGTTCCCAAGGTCCGAGGTTGACAAACCTGTGCAGAGGGCTGGCTGGGTGCGCTGCTCCCTCCAACTGAGAACATTAAAGTAGAACCTTCAGTCCGCAATAGTCTCCCCAAAGAAACAAGAGAACGCCGGCCTCCTAAGTGGGATGTGCGTATCCTGCTTTCCCGACCTAAGCGTGGGACAGGACTGAAGCAAGGAGCTGCTCGGTTCAGTTTAACATTTGCTGAGCACTTACAGGGAGCAAGGCGAACTGCTAGGCGATGGGGAGGGGGTGAAAACCGTTAGACACAGACTTTAGAAGGAGGTCGCCGTCCAGTGGAAAGATGGACACGCAAGTGGTCGAAGCAGAGGCTTCCCCCCCCACTCCGCCCCTACCCAGCGCCCTAGCATAAACGCTAGGATGTATCCCCGCCCCTCCCCCAAGCGTTTCATCCAACCCAGGGGTCCTTGGCCCCTCTCTCCCTTTTCTATCACATTCAATCTCTCCAATTCTGATGACTTCTTCCCGGCCTGAATGATTTTCCTCTCTTGAAAACCATTTTCCTGCTACACGCACTCATTTATCACCTCAAAACATTTGTTTTTTTGTTCAGCTCCCTCCAAGGGGCTGGACAGGCGTTCACCGCAGTTGTCAAACCTGCTCCTTCCTAGGATGCTGCCCACAGCTGAGCGAACTTAGCACTTCCACTGCTTCCAAGCTCTCAGGAACCAAGGGCTGTCCCCTGGGGGGACAGGGTGTCCCTCCAGACGCCCGCAGGTCAGAGAGGCCCAGCTTTCAGTGACAACCTCTCCTGTCCCTGGGACCCTAGGCCTGTCTACACAGCGGATCTTTCCTGTGAGCTGTCCGCGGGAGACCCTCTTCTGGTTGAAAAGACACCTTGACCCAGGATTCACTCAACCTTGACTTTGACTCTGCTTGACCTCTCTAAAATCCTCCTACACCAATCTTAGATTCGTATTTTTCCTTTTAGAAAAATACACTTTAAAATGGAAAAAGAAAAGTTATTTTTCATAAAAAATACAAAGAAGATATCTTAATATCTCTGTCATTGAAAATTGACTATCAATTAAATTTTGCTCTATCTGTTTCCAATTTTTCTCTTTAATCATTTGCTACAATATATGTACATTGTAAAAAAAAATCAAAACTATTTTCCTATGCAGGAAAATACAAAAAATAAAAGAAAATCAAATTTTTATCAATCAGAAATAATTCTCATGAATATTAGATGAATCCCAGACATCTTTTTAGGCATATATGTGAGATAGAAATATATCTATTTATCTATATATGTATATGGATCATGAATATTAGATAAATACCAGATCTTTTTAGGCATATATATGACAGAAATATATATATATACATACACATATATATTATCCACATATGTGGATAGATGCAGGTTTGGCAGATAGGAACAATAAATTCATTTTAAAATATCAGCCCTTCCTAGTTGCTATTTTTAAAGCTAAGATATTTCATTTTCTTTTAGTAGAAGAACAGGCAGCTACCTTGAAGCTGGAGGAATTGTTAAAAGCTAAGTATTTTTTTACCACGCTTTTCTATATAATTCTGGAAAGATTCAGGAAAGAGGTGATAAGGAAGAAGAGAATAAAGTAACCAGTTTTATTTGGAGGTGTCTGCACTTCAGAGAGCAACCTACTCCCTGCTGTGACATTAGTGCATTTCCTCCCTCATCCCCTTAGGTCACCTCCAGCATCTGTTAGTTGTGTGGTTGCTTTTCAATTGCCACCCTCCATTCTGTGTCTGAAATCCCATGCTTATTTGGTACTGGGTCTCTAACTAAATTATTCCATTCTCTCTGCCCGTCCTTCCTTTTTCTACATCTGCTTCCTTATCTACAAAATCCACTCGTTCATTTATCACAAAAGCACTAGGCACATACTACTAGCTCCCGGTTATTCTCTGTGGACAATAGGACAGGCAAGGTCTCTGCTCCTGGCAACTCAAAAGGTGACATTGAGTAAGAAGAGGCAGGCAATAAACCCGTCAGTAAGGTAGTTTCCACAGTGAGTGATAAAAGCTATTGAGAGGGTAAATCTGGGTGAAGAGCTAGAGAGGGAGGGGGCAGGAGGGAACCAACTCTGGATAATCTGACCAAGAAGAAGCCAGCCGTGCAGTCTGGAGAGGGTGTTCCAAGCCGACGGAACATCAAGGGCAAAGGCCTGGAGACACATGAAAACAAGATCATCAATCATTTCACAAAGGCTTATTGAGTCGGACAGCAAACGGTGGCAGTCATCGTTTTTCACTGGGTCAGGAGTCACGTGTCTTCAGCTAGCCATTGTGTATCCCCAACACCAGCTCGGTAAGTAGTGTAGAGACAACGAGAGAATGAATGAGCAGACATCCTGGACCCTGTGATAGCGGAAGGAGAAAGGGAAGGTGCCAGGTGCGGCAGGCTGAGAAGGCTCCCCAGGGGAAGCGGAGGCTGCGCTGAATGAAACTTCGATGGACTGCAGTTCGCCAGTTGGACAGAAAGGAGAATGGGGTATTTGAGCAAAGAAAAGGACACAAATGCTTGTGGAGTCTGAAAAACTATAAGCCGTTCAGCATGGATAGAGTATAAATCACTGTTGGAAAAGTGGTGAAGGGTAGACCAGATTCTGAGAGGCCTTTAAGTCCACGCTGGGCAATTTAGCACTTGCCTGAAAGAAAGAAACCTCTGAGGGACCTATGAGCAGGACCGAGACTCGAGCTGTCTTGCTTAGTAGAAAGATCGTGTTAGCTGTCATGCACAGAACAGATTTCAGAGGGGACCAGACAAAAAGCAAGGAGACCCATTAGGAAGTGGCGGCAGAAATCCTGTGGAGAACCAGTAACCGGCCTGGTCCCTAGAGGCTGCCTTGAATGGAGAGAAAGAGGTGACTGCAAAGAACATTGGGAAAACAAACCCACCAACTGACAAGTCTAGGGCATAGGGAGGGAGGGAGGAATCAAGGGTGAGGGCCAGGTTTTTGGTTCATGCAGGTGGGGAACATGCAGGGGAGATGTAGATACAGGCAGAGAATGGGGTGCACTTGACTGTGGACTGGTAGAGTTGAACGAAGCTTTGGGCCTTCCAAGTGAACTTCAGGAGGCGAGTGGCACTAGGTGTTCCAAGTCAGTGGGAGGGGTCTCAGCTGAAGTTACCAGTTTAGCAGTCATCGACACAGAGTTGTGGTTGATGCACTGATCTCAGACACTCAGGCAGGGAGTCTACTCAAGTGGCTGAGGATCCAACTCAGAGGAATGAACGTTTATGGGGAAGAAAGAGGCAGAGGCTGCTTATGTTCAGAGCGTTCTCCGAAAAATCTTTGATTTGAAACTCAGTCCTCTACTTGCTGCCTGACTTGAAAGGCCCGAATAGCAGTTAGGACGGGCCTCAACACTTGCTGAGGTACCAGACCTCTGAATTTGCCTCTTCCCAAGGTCTATTCAGTAACTGGGGCTTACAGATCTGCCACTCACCCCTCTTCCTTCTCTAAGTCAGCACTCTGGATTCCTTCCTTCTGAATTCTGCATCAACTAGCTGTCGCCCTTTTTTCACTTCAAACTTTTTCACTCTGATAGCCTCTAAAAACTCTCTCCGGGTTTACCTTACAAAGGCATGGGTTTCTCTTTTTCCACCTTAGTCTCTTGATATCTAACTGTCCCATCTCATTAGCTTTTTCTTTTTCTCCCAACGTGTCCTTCTTAAGGACTTAGCTGTGCTCTGTCCTTTGTGGCTCGGCCCCAGTCTCTCCTCCTCCATGAGCAGTTCACAGAATATTCTAGGCTGCATGCCATTTTCCTTGTAGAGGTCATGGTTGTGTTGGCACCAGCCTCACCTGGCAACCTCCAGTAGTTACTGAGTAAGCCTCGCCTTACTCTTTAGCCTCTAAATAGTCCTCAGGTGGAGACTTTGTTACAACTCTCCTTACTCAGGTCACACAGGAAAGCTGAGGCCTGGAAAGCTTACTGGTTTTGACTAAGATAACCAGCAAGTGGCAGGACCAGGACTTCACAGCCAGGCAGTTACCTTGGTCCCCTATAGCTCCCCTGCCAGGACTGGCGGTATTTCGAGCAGCCGACACAGAGAAAGTTGATCTCAGTGAATGAACACTTCAACAAGATGTAAGTGTATCCAATCAACACCTTGCATACCTCAGATTTACACAATACTGTATGTCAACATCTCAATAAAAAATATAAGTGGCTGGAAAAAACTCTTCCTTCTTCCTAAACTTCATGGATTTGTTTATATCACATTTTAATCATTGAAGCCAAGAAGACTCTGTGCCTGTAATTTTGAGATAATAAGTAATCAATAAAGTTGAAGATGAAATACATAGTTATTATATTCCCTCTGGACAAGTAGTATTCTTATGAGTTAGCAGAGAATATACATGTTAGAATCAGACGAACCTCAGTGTGCTATGTTAGCTATGCATCCTTGGGCAAATCCCTTCAGATGTCCTTGCCTCCATTTGCTCTTCTGTAAAATG